CTTATTTAAGACGATTTAAGTTCACTGTAATATATTGCCAATAGATTACTGGTTTACAGGAGTAGTGCCATTAATCGCTAAACAGTGGTGGTTTCTTCTGGACGTACAATTCAAAATAAGAAGAGAAAAAGATAAGAAAGTAATACGATGATTGCCGTTATGCTAGTACTAAAAACATATGTATACGTTTTAGAGATAAAATTCGGTTAAAAGTTATTTTGTTGTTAGAAAGTTCAATGGCACTGACATTTCTTGTATCACTTCAGACGTCATACAAACATGTCGGTGTCCATTGTACTGTCTTAATGATCTGTGGTCTTAATGTAACGTGCACAAATGTGTGCGTGTAAATCTTTCAGTTTTGCCAGTACCTATGTTATTAATAAATAGTACTCTATAGTGAAGCAGTAGGTGGCAACAACACAGAAAACAGTTGGAAAATGAGTTGTTGGAAAAAACAGTTGAGTGTAGTAACACTGAAGAGTGGAGATTAGTATAAACTGTGGAGATTAAAACACGGTCTCTATCTGAAACTGTATTAAACACCCTTTTGTCCTCACGTACCCACTGAAAAAATGATAAAATAACTATTATAAAAATTGTTTTCCGTTTTACAATTTAATTTAATAAAGAGCTTTATTAAAATTTGAAGGTTTGACAGTCTGAGTGCCTAAACCTTTTTTGAAACGGTCTAGAAAGTCTTGTTTTTCCTGACAATTTCGAGACCGCACCGAGTCGCGATTTTTTTATCTCGGGATGCGGAAACACAACAAGAATGAAAGCCACCGTACTATCTCAATGTACAGTCCACAAATGTGTGCGTGTAATTCGTTGAATTTCGTCAGTGAGTTTTGATACTTCTTATGGAGAAGCTGTAGGCTGCAACAACATAGAAAGTCGTTAGAAATTCTACTGTAAAGCCCGCAGTTGTTTTTTTTAGCGAAACGGGGGTTCCCCTTAGTATCATAATCTCACATTTAATTTTACGTTAAACTCCGTTACCGTCCATAAACTGGTTAAATTTGTATTTGTTATCGTAATAATAAATTTACTTTTTACGAAAACATACGCCTACTTAGCACTGCACTTACGAACACTGCACATTATAACTAAGCAATAAACGGAATGACGTAAGGTACAATTTTCAACATTGAGTTGTGAGACTTTTTGGCCCACTTAATAAATTATTTTATGGTCGACCTCGGTGGCCCAACGGTTTATACTGTGCTACTGTGGGCGCTGGATGAGGAGGGCCGAGTTCGAGTTTCGGTAGGACCAATTGGGAAATGAACTTTTCTAAATTGCTTCCGGTCTGGGTGTTCTTGGAAGTGCTCCAGATTAGATTCTGGTACTCACAGTACAGGGAATTCCCTAGCTTGAGACCAGCCAATTGGTGTGGTTGTTTGGTACATTATTATTATAATTACATTATCGTTTAGGTTGCTCGACTAAACAACTTATCACAAAAATTAAATAAGAACTGTAAAATGTTTTGGAAGTAACAATTCAACATCACTTGAGAGTTTGTACTAAAAAAACTTCTGAATAAAGGTTAACGACCACGCGGTCTACGAGCGATAGTCTACAAAAATGAATACATTAACTCGAAGGTGGGCACGTAACTAGTGTGATAAGTAGGTGATAACGACAGCAGCTTTCCTTAATAAATCTCTACTATTACCTTTACTACATTGTGTTTTAATATGGTGTGATATTTGCTTTAGGACATTTAAAATACAGGATTAGTGAAGTGTCACAACATTTGCGTGTGACCAAACAAAAAATACTTGCACCATATTAACTATTTCTAAATATAAATCGTGATACTGAAAAGGACGAAGTAAAACAATGGTGAGATAAACAATAAATATATCTAATACAATTATCTAATACAAGTAACCAAAAAGGTTCGAAGTCAAAATCTAATGTTTAAAAACATCTTTAGATTTCTCAAGTAGCTGTTTAGGATTAGGTTGGTATACAGGGTGTAATCGTTAAGTGTGCCCAAGCAATTATTCCATAATTATAAGAGACATCAAAAAGCTTTAAACTGATTTCGAAAGTACGTTACTTAATGAATAAATCGACATCAATAACTTTTTTGAATAAAACTAGGAGTATCCAAAATTTTAACATTAAAAGCTACCATGCATTTAATATGACATTCGTAGAGAGGCTTTAGTTTTCCTATTGTAATAGGTAACAATAAGTTAACAGATGATAAAACTGATACAAATAAAGTAATAAAACTATCTTTTAATTGAATAAAAATATAATGGCATTGTCAATTATTCGGTCAAGTGTAAGTTGTCCAAAAAAATTAAGAAAAATGATTTTTTTTTAGTTCTGATCGACTCAGTTTCATATAAGGATCATTTCATTGTATGGGAAGAAAAAATCAGGACAGCAGAAGTTGGTAAATTTGATCAAATGCTAAAAATTAGAAATTTTATTCATTTTGTATCATGAATAAAATTGACTATTTTTTTTTAATGCTGATAGACTCAGTTCCTTTAAGAATTATTTTATTGAATCGGATGAAAAGAATCGGGACAGCAGAAATTGATCAAATTTAATGAAATGTTATTAATTTTGTATGAAATATCTTTTTGTTTTACACCAGCTTATGTTGTCCGGAGTTTTTTGTCCCATTCAATGAAATGACATACATCACAAGGCTACTACAGCGCGACACCAACAGATGAGACTGTAGTCTATTACTTGCTTATATACAATGTAAATAAAGAGACATGCTTGCGATGTATATGCACAATTTTGGGATAATACATTTGCATGTTTTGTTGAAAGTTAGTCCTATACTAGGAAATTTCGATTCTCTTCCGAAAATTCGTGGTTTGAAACTATGAAATGTCGTGGGATAGTTAATGAACGAAACATAATAGACAATTACTGTCTTATGGATTGTGCAGTCAAGGAACCTAGAAACACTCAAGCCTAGTGTCCGCCATTAAGGAAATAGAATAGACCTAAAACACAATGTCAAATATAAACAAATGAAGCCTGGTCAGTGACTGAAAGCTGCTCGCGTGCGTACGCGTAAGGAAACAGAAGAAATCGCTTCCTACGCCTGCCTGTCCATCAAACGCAAGTACCAGATTATTTAATGCATCTATTACGAGTATATGCTGTACTCCGTTAACATACCTGCTAATGTTTCTTCGACTAAGTATATGCATGCTTGCTTGTACACATTACAATTACCGAGGGATAGTCACCGCCTGCTTCTATTTACGATTGTTAGGGGGATCGCAGAGATAGGGGTGAGAAGTTATTTTTGCTTCAATCTGGATCCCAATTAGTATGTCATATAAAACTTCGGATTCAATTGTATGTTTGATTGTTTAGACTTTTGGTTTTTCTTTTTTGACTGTAACATTCTATTAATTCTATAAAAATGTCTGTTTTAAAATATAATATAAGGTGTTGTGTTCAGCATAAATGGAAATATATCTACTTCCATTTCTTTTCCTCTCTCTAACAGTAGTTTATTTGAATATGATTAAAATAGTTCCTTTCTATTAGTATTAGAATGGAGAAGATCACTCATATAATACGTGTATTGTAATAAACAAGAGCTTAGAGGTCGAGTTGTGAACATCAACCCGTTACACCATACCATATCATGCACTAGTTTGGTGATAGTATGAGATGATACGCTGCATGGGCCTAGACGTAGGAGACAGCAAAACATCACCATTCTATCTTCCATTGCGGCCATGATGGTGTTATATAGGTAGAGGTACATAAGCGTTCTCTTTAAGTAGGTCTACCTACATGCATCGACGGACTGACTCTTGCAAATATGGCTTTGCCTCGCATTTTCAACCCTAACACATACACACAAAACAGTAAACCGCGTTGTTAGTCATCTGGAGAAGCCCTAAATATATTATTATTTAGGGGATTCTCCAAACTTCCAGGATAAAACTTATAGGTCTTCGCTATAATAAACACATGCAGATTGATATGGCTAGTTCACATGCTATCACAACAGGTCGAGCGTTACTGATATTGACAGTGCAAATATTATTTATAGTATATATATTTATAATAAAATGTAATTAAAATACTATATATAAATATTATTTATATAAGTATTTTAATTACATTTTATTTCTTTTTTGCCTTTGCACAGTTATCTGGAATAGATTGTAGTATAGCAATGAGATCTTCGAACGAACCATTCTTTGAACGTTTACTTATCATATCTGTGTGATATCTGCTAAAATGAATAATAGTGTATTTACGGCCTATTACTTCAAAACTTACATATTACAATAAGTAGGTATTAATTTTTAAGTGAATATTCAAAGAATTTAATTGTACAACACATACTTATTCGATGGAATAATGTGATTTATTGAAGAATTATTACTACAACTCCTTTAAAGGCAAAAGCACGCCACGATGACTTAAACAGGGTATCTATGTATATGTGTGTAGTAATTACGCCTATGCACGTTTTACGCTTCAATATAGATATTTCGCTTTTGATGAGTGTCATAAAACTAACATTTATTAATATTTTTAAAATCGATTTAAAATGTTTGTACTTGACCGAATATAATTACAATTGAATCGATTGTGTAAGTCGTGTAAACCCTTAGCTGACATATGTATAGTAAGGTCGGAACCCCTCTGTCTGGCTGGGGTGCGCGACCTTGGGGCACCCTTGTCGCTGTTTGTTAAGATATGTTAATATGAATGGTGTCCCCGTCACGTCCTTGCTTCATATAGCAAATGCGAGGTGAGCCGGTTCGCATGACGCTACCATACGCCACTAAGAATACCTAATGAGTGTTATATTAAGTGAATTGATTTTATAATGTGGTGCTTCATCAAGCATCGTCTTTATAGCCAGTAATATATGAAATCAGTGCTATTGCTCCGGGTCCGATTGTTTGGTTTGTTTGTGTCTTCAATGACGTCGCGATGTGATCACGCGCGAAGCTCGCTGGCGGCTGGTAGCTGACAGCGAGGTGCCCTGGCGTCAGTCGCAGTGCCCGCGCCAACCGCGCCACACGTTCGCCGCACCGCCAAGACGATGCTGCTGCTGGCCTTACTTGCCGCCGTCGCTACCGCGGCCGCGCAGAACGAAACACAACCACCGCGGACGCCTCTGTCCCCACGCCGTGAACAGTTTCGTGTTATCTACGAATGGAACGCCATCGATTTCATGTGGGCCTCCCCGGCAGACCGCGAGGCCTACCTCAATACAAGCCGATACATTCCCCAAAACGTTTTAATATCTGGAATAAACTTTTACGGAGAAAATCTGTTCCTGACTGTGCCGAGAATGCTGGACGGGGTGCCAGCGACACTGGGCACCATACCAGTACAGCAGAGCGAAACGGCACCAAAGATACAGCCTTTCCCTAGCTGGAAGGATAACGAGATCGGTAACTGCAACGCTCTGCAGTTTGTTCAAAATATTGAAATAGACCGCAATGGTATCATGTGGATTCTGGACAACGGCCGCGTCGGTACCCTTACACGCAGCCCCAGCACTAAGTGTCCGCCGTCTCTCGTACTTATCGACCTCAAAACAGGCAAGAATGAGATGGAGCGTATACCATTCCCTACAGACACAGTGAATCTCAATACTACATATTTGAACGATCTAGTAGTGGACAATCGGAACGGGGACTATGCTTACATCACTGACAACAGTGCCATTGATCCGGGTATTATTGTGTTTCGTCGTAGTGATAAAAAGTCTTGGAAAGTTCGAGATAAGGCCTCTATGAAACTGTCGGAAGAAGCTAAATTTTTCCGAATTAACGGTAGCACTGTCACTCTTCCAGTGAATATCGACGGTATCGCCCTTGGACCGCAATTTAGAACACCGAATAATGAGATTGACAGAACAGTTTACTTCTGCCCTCTTGCCAGTTATCACTTGTACGCAATAAATGCATCAGTTTTGCAGAACGAATCCCTGTCTCAAATGGGTGAGAACGCCGTAAGTCCTTACGTTGTTGATCTCGGCAGAAAACCATCGCAAACTGACGGTATGAAAATGGATTCAAATGGCGTGCTCTTTTTCGGTCTGATAGGCAACTCTACGATTGCGGAATGGAATACGACCGTTGATTTCCACGTTGGCCAGCGCACGATCGCACGCGATCCCAATTACATACAGTGGGTGGATCGCTTCACTTTCGATGACCACGGCAACGTGTATGTAGTTGTCAACAGATTATTTAATTTTGTGAAAAATCAGGTGTCATTGAATGAAGTAAACTATAGGATTCTGAAGTCTCACACGGGCTCCAAAAGTTACGTGTTCGCCGAAGATTTGGCCACAGCGGGAGTACCGGGATCTGCGTCAATGCCCGCGCTCGCCTCCTCGCTGATATTGATTGCGCTGGCGCACCTGCTTGCCTAGTCTCAGCCTGGTGCATCGGTCGCGGTCTATTCACGACCTTGGCCCTGAAGCTAGTGCTCACTGTGCGACGCTCGGACTGATGCGTAACATTACCAAATATTTAAAGTTACCTTGACCTCACGGTCTTACCAGTGATAAAGAGCATGTAGATAGCTTTCTAATAGGAATATTGTAAAAGTAAGATAGGTAGCGTGTAAGAGCGTCAATTATGTGACCTTTATGCAGCAGCGGCTCTGGGTAGAAGGCGCAGCGTGCAGCGGTACCGATTCGCGGTGAAGATGCGCCAGGCGGGTCATAGTCGCAGCGGCGCATCCACACTTGCATTGCAAGCGGGTGAAAGGTCGGGGCCGCCTTGCGAAATACCACATAGCGCTCAACAATAAACATTCCAACTATTTTTTGTGGTAGAGGTGCATCTTTGCACATATTTATTTATATGTTTGTAACCTTATTCCTTTTTAAGACACTTTTAACATTGTAAACGTCTTTTGTTAACACATACCATTGTCGAAGTAATTGTAAAGGCATGTAATTTATGTAACTGAGATAAAGTTATTAAGGTAGCTCTTCATAAATATCTAATTTGAATTGTATGATATTATAACTATGCTATATTGTAATTGAACTAAAATTGTATGGCTGTGGCGTGAATGTGGCTGCGTGTTTGGTTAAATAAAAGTGTTTATCATATAATAGTGTTTGCAGTTTTTATTTTCACGCTAATGTGAGCTCGTGCTCACGGCATGAAGGTGTTGAATTTGAAATCATCACTATAACTGATACTTGTTTAAATTGTAATCGTTTTTTATTAAATGGCGTAAATATTAGCACTAAAATATAGCACAATGTTTTTGTCTGTTTCTTAGATCACCATCAATCGAATATTGGAAATAAGTTTGCACAAATTAAAAGACAACAATTACATAACGTTTAAAACTTTATATTTATATTTACTTATATTAAATTTTTGATATGCGTGTTTAGATCATTTTCTATACCATGTAAGAGTACGTAAACTTGAACAAGTATGTAAAGTAGGTAGATGCCATCGCTTCAAGATGTAGAGACATTGACGGGTTTTGCTTGCGGTTAAGCGACGACCTTACCGTGTTTTGACGCCCATACACACAGAACATAATCTTCTATGGCAAATGAACGCACTATAAGTTGGACGCAAAACTCAAAGTTGCCATAGATAGGCGAGTCACACAACACGTATTTATTCGGCCGCATTTATTACTTACAGTTGCAGTGTGGCTCATATGTTTTACGTATTCATATTTATGTAAAGAGTACGTAGCTCTACAAGTTTTGTGACCAACTAAAAATAACATGTGACGTAATGTGCGGGACGCATTGTTCAAAGAGTTTGGGAAAAATGCTGAATTTACATTTACACAAGATCTATTTCTCAACAATGGTTCACAATAAAACAAAACGAATGTTTATAAAACATAAATGTTTATTATTCAACATTATGTGTTGTTTACCTTTTAACGTACTGTTTTTATAAAATAAGATTAATGAGCATAGTTCTAACGATATTAACCTTAGATAATAAATAAGTTAATCCTTTGAACTCTGAAAAATAAATCTTCCTTTAATCAAGCACATAACGTCAGTGACTCTATTGCAGCTTAAAAGCATGTAAATTATATTCATGGGTTAATTTACATTCCTATTTAGTATCGCTAAGTTTAATAAAGAACAATGAACAAGCTTAGCCACCTTGAGCCGCTTCCGCGGTGCTGAGAGGCATATATGATTGCAATAGATGAGTATGTTTCCCTAAATCAAACAAACCGTAGCCTGACAAGGCCGAGTTTCGTATGACAAATCAACTCCGTTTCTACTTCGTTAACCATAATTTCAAAATTGAAACCTACCAATTATATGCTTCATTACTTAAATAATAAGGAGCTTTTGGTAATTAAGAACTCCAAGTAGACGTGAAATTTGCAAGCCGCATTGTGCCAGTGTGGTGGCGTAAAATACGTTCCCTGAAGATAAAGTTGGCGACGCGGAATATATCGACTGTAAACTGTGAAGAAAGAAATTGTTTGCGTCATTTACATAGCATCTGATTTATAAAACAAAAATACGTAGTTTAAAAAAAATATTACACATACAGTACGTATTTTTTATTTAATAAACCAGATGCTATATAATGACGCAAACAATTTTTTTCTTCATCGTGTAAAGTTGTCAAAATTGACATGGTACCGGTTATCAGTTCACAGTCGATATATGAGGTGACACCATCGCAGAACTAGTAATAAATAAAAATATTTAATTGGTGAAAACAATACACACAAAGAATCTCACAATGGTCTCTACAGACCATTGTGTACAACGAATACCGTCATTCAATGTAGGTACGTGTATACACCTGTATAGATGAAAATATTATCCGCTACTCAAGAAAGCAAATAACAGACAAATGTTCCAACAATTACCTACATATATCTACTGTAATAATATGCGCAAATAATATATATGCTTGTTTGTTCAACGATGTACATCAAAAACATGATTAAGTAAGACGTTTTTCAATCAGTTTGTAAGAAAAGTGTTGAATATTTTAAAGTTGTCTATAAATAACTGTAACTTTTTATAAAAAGCAACCGACCTGAAAAGTTTGTGAATTACATCTATTTTAGCCAAGTTTTATTGGAATCGGTTAACGGAAAGTGGGTGAAATCAAATAAACAGGATTCATCCCCTAATTTGCCACCTCGATGTGGAATATTTTCTTCAAATTTAAATGAAACCACTACTGACTAAACACTACATCATCCTTTCCAACAAAAAAAAAATCCACGAAATCGGTTCACAAATGTCGGAATTATCGCGTCGAATTGAGAACCTCCTCCTTTTTTGAAGTCGGTTAAAAATTATTTATTAAGCTTTCAAATAGAAATTTTGAAACAAAGACAGCAACAAGCAGTATATAAATGAATGCGTGTTTTCGCAAGTTTATCATCCGCACGAACCTGTCATTATCTATACAAATCATGATCATATTTTTTATACACTTGCTCTACATTATGTCGTAGCGCCATTTGAAAAGAGATTCATCTAATAAAAAAACAAACTGATTAGATTTCTCCAGCCAGTGTCAATGTGGTGATAATAATACGAGTACGAGACATGTGAAACAGGTTCTTTATCTTGCCGGAACCATGGCCGATTTTCATAGATTTTTTGCAGAGGACAATGTTAGAAAGTAACATAGCGATGAAAGTGACAGGATTTGAGTATTTTATTTCTCATGTCACTTATAACGGTTATAGTTTAGCTTTGCAAAGCCTTTCAAAAGTATATTTATACTACGACGTGCTTTCTTAGAGCATAGCGTGCTTTTAATGTTTTAAACTTCAAATAAAAAAAAAAATTTGAGTTGACATGTCTATGTAGTTAAGTATGTATGTGAAATGACAATAATAATAATATTGAATGATATTGAGTCGTTGAATTCTAATATCTTATTAAAGTGCCTCATCTCATTTTCAATGCAAAAAATACAAGATCGCCACAGTTTGTTTACTACCGTAATTGAATATTTCCATTCTCATTTCAGGGACGGAAATAAATAGAAATATTTTTATTATCTTTTATTTTTCAAACGCAATAAGCGTGGCAAATTTCAATTGATTCGATATCTTAAAGATTAGTAGAACCGCGGTGATGTATTTCGTATTGAGATGTTTTTTTTCACAGAATTTGAAATCAATGGCGCAGAACAACCCTGGGGATCATAAAAATGTATCTATGCGTACCGGTAAATCCAAGACACGATTTTACAATACTAAATGCAAATGTATTGTGTTCACTTGCATATAGTATGACAGCAATGCGGCCAATGCAGTTTCGTAGTCTCTGCTATAGTATATTGTATATAATAGAATACGAAGCGTGTATGGTATAAATATACAAGAAAATGCCATTAGGTAATCAAATGCAAAAGATTATTTATTTACCATTGTCCCAATAAAACAAATAGATGTGACCTTTAAACTCCACCTATATTTTATTTCGACTTCAATATAGCTACGTTTTGATGACCTCATAATTGGGCGTTCAGCCACATCGAATTAATTGCTAAAGTTCCGGTTATAGCTTGAAGGACAGTCATCTGATGCGACAATTCTTAAGTAGGACACCGCTACTACTATTTAGTGTTAAGACTCTAGTCACTGCGTAAGTTGTTTGTGTATTGTACAGCAGCCCTAGCAATTACTAGAGGTACCACAATTTTCAATATAAATACGTACGTCTCTATTGATCATAGTTTCCCATACTGGTTCTTACCGTCCCCTAGTGGGCGCTGAAGAGTTCTAGGGCCTAGGAAGCAATTGGGGGCGTTGATTCTGTTAGGGGGCGCTACCACATTTGGAAAAAAAACTGAATTATCTATACAGATAAATATTTCTTTCCTTGTGATGTTTTTGTGTTAAGTTAATATAAAAAATACATACTTTCAATTATTTTTTGTGGTAGTGGGCGTTGAATTTTTTTATCTCGCCTAATGGGCGGTGAGCCAAAAAGTTTGGGAACGACTCGACTATCTGATATGAACTAGAAGGCTCAAGAGTGTGTAACTACTAACTGTATATAAAAGTTTAATTTGAAATCATTCTTTTTTCTTTAATGTTCTGAATTTGTGATTTAATTCTACAAGTCGTGTTTTTAATCGTCGTGTAATTATGGTACAGTCGTTGTTTCATATTTACATAACCAAAGTGCTTTAGTTACTTAGTTTGGGATCTTAACAACGTATGTGAGGTTATCTAATATTTATACATACATATACAACACATATATATACAACAAGCTAAGAGAATATTGTAGCTAGTGATCGTACTGACGATTACGTACATATTTTTTCTTTACAATTTTCTTACGTTTTATGGTACCAAGTGACAGGATGAACAAGTCGTGCGCGTGGTGGTGAGCTACACACCTGCAGATGGATTTTAATAGTGAAATCATCAGACTTTATTTTACGTTTACATATCCAGCTATCAAAATAAAAGGTAATAAGTTGAAACAAACTTCTCTCTTTCTAAACATCCAGTAGCTTCGCTATCATAGTACTATCCCACCGGCAACAGTTACAAGTGACAATTATAGACGAATGGTTTAATTAAAAAACCGACCTTAAATGTTCG